GTTGGTTTACTTTGACGATCAAAACGTTTGCGCACAAATATCAATCTTCATATACCGAGGTGTTCTTAGATAATCATTTTGATATGTATTCAATGACACTCTCGTTAAAGCGTGAAGTGGCTTCAGTATTCATATGAGATCCATGCGCACTTTCATGTATTAATTTCATTTCTACTGCACGTTTGCCAACTTCTCATTCCCTTCACTTTTCTGTGCACTCCATTATATCACTTACTACTGCTGAGTAGTTCATGTGTGCTGTGATGTGAATCACTTTTCATCACATAGCTTGCTCTTCGTCTTCTCACAATTACGAGAACCCATGAAATACAGTACATTTCCTATTGTAAGTGTAACATTTTAAACACATGATTTTCTCGTCCAGGTGTTCTCCCAGTTTTGTAAGATCTCTCAAGAAATATGATATATTTCTGCCTGTTGTTTTCCCTTACAATAGAACACTAGAAAAGCCATAGAAAAAGAGGAAGTATCTTGATGAATGTAAGATTGATTATTCTTAGAGTTTATAAAATTGGGTAGTTTTGTTTTGGCATCTACTTGAACACTTTTTACCGGCCTTGGAACTCTACATTTAACCCAATATTTCTTCGAAATGTGAATAAGAACAACATAGAAGTGACTACGAATGTGACTAGGACCTTCATAACAAGGTTAATTTATATACCTACAATAAGCTTATCAACGAATTTTTTGATAATTTTCATACTCTATAAACGTCTCAGAATATGGCAAGTAAAGAAACGCAGTAAGCATTTACCCGGTAACAGCTTGATGCAAACAAGTTTGAATAAGATGACATGTTCACATTTCTTTAGTATTATACACTTACAATAGTAAATGTACTGTATTTCATGGGTTCTCGTAATAATGAGAAGACGAAGAGCAAACTATGTGATGAAAAATGATTCACATCACAGCACACATGAACTACTCAGCAGTAGTAAGTGATATAATGGAGTACACAGAAAGATAAAGGAGTTAGATAAATGAAGTTTGAATGGGTGAATTGGAGGTGAGGGTCATTGCTGATCGGTACCATTGGTTCAAGTAAGTATGTAAAATAAATGGCCGCTTTAATAACAGTATATTCAGGCGTACAATATTGTTCTCAATTAGATACTCATCAGGCTCATTCTAATATACTGTAATATTTATATTCACATACGAAATGATAGCACTAATGAAGTCAGTTGAGTCCATGATAACAGTGGAATAGATGATAAAATTGTACAATACAAATGAGAAGCACAAATTGAGTGATGAAAGGTGTAGCAGTTGTGATACGAATATTGTAGGTTTGAATCCATGATTCATAATAGGAAGTTTGTGAGTGACTTGAAAAATGTACAAACTGAAATAGCCATAAGACTAACTAACCAGAAGTGCTCTGGTAATTGGAAGACGAAGTATGTGTTTGGAAGTGTAGGATGTGGCAGGGAATGGAAGAGTAAACGAACGTAGATTGTGGAAAATAATAATGGCAATAATTGTGGAAAAGAAGAGTTTTAGGATCTTTGGGAAGAACATTCAATTCGGCTGGAATTCGTTTTATCTTTTGTAGTCAGCCCATGATCGGAAGTTATGTGAATGATACATTCTTATTTCAGGCAAGACCAATTTACATATTCCAATCTACATGCCCACTCGTAGCTTGAAATCTCGAGCGCACAAAAGGAGCTCTCTCGAAATGCATCTGTGAATATTCCTCCGTGTGACTTTCCAGAGGATTAAAGAAGTCAGTTTAAAGCTCAACGTTGGACAATCTGGTCAAGTTCTAATCATTTCAATCGACTAGAAGCCTCCCTAAAAATCATGTTCACAGTCCGGTAATTCGAGGCCGGTATGGATGCAAATAAAGAGCGTATGTACAGAAGTGGCGATTGCTGTCCAGCAGATCAAGCCTTAACTTTGCATACAGAACAATATGTTCAATCTCTCATTGCTCCTTGATCATAAACGTCATTATTTTCGTGGTCTAACTTTTGTACATTACAAGAGAATGGTTTAAATTTGAATGTAAGAATACACCAAGTCACAAATGAGAAGACAAAAAACAAGTGAAAAGGAATGCTATTTCAAGCAGTGCTAATTGTGATACAATACTGTCAGATATTTATAGTTTTTTCTAAAAACGAAATCATCATTATAGTTCTCCTATCCACATACAGGGGTTGTTTACATTTGTCCATTAGGAAAGCTACACGTAAGGATTCTGGGATATTCTCTCAGAAGCTGAGTGGATGTAAGGTCTTCAGCTGTTTCTGAGTTTCGTAGAGCTTCCTCGAATTCATAATAAAGTAGAAGAGTATATGATTTGTCATCACAATTGTTTCTGAACAACATTTAGTAAGGACAGGTTTGACTTAACCTGATTCACCATGCACAACGGTCTCTAATTCCGTCTCACCATCAATGTGCGAACAGAATTTACGACTCAATATCCTGATGATGATTCCCATAACCACAATACACGCTTCATCGATTGAACCACATTGTCTCAAAACCAAGAAAATCAATCACAGTAATCCATCAAGCATATGAATCTTCATCTTGTGCCGCTTAAAAAAGACCACTTTATGTGGCTTTTTATGATGATCGAACAATCACAACTGCCAAAGAAATTGTGTTGAATGTCATCATAGGTTGAACGTGATAGTGTTCAGTCTACAAATATGCAACTCTATTCATGTAGATTGAGTGGAACACGCAAATCAATGTCATCCTCAAATTCTTCTCAAAAATATTATTCATTCCTAAATATTCACACTCACACCAAAATAACACCACTTATTTCAACTTATAGTCCCCACTGCAAAACATAACACAATTTACATAATCCATTAATCCCAAACACATGACCATTATGAAGAATAGTGGTACGACCTGTCATATTCTGTTTCTGTCCTCATGAGGTTATATGAAAACGGACAATCGAAGTGCGTATGGACTTGTTTGTATGCGCAGATTGAAGAACTCGTTGAAGCGTGAAGTGTCTTCAGTATTCATATGAGATCCACGTGCACTGTCATGTATGTTTGTTTGCCTTCTACAAAATAGTCATTTTCAAAGCTCTTATCTGGTTGGTCATTTCTAGTTCATTCTCATACTGTGCCCATATTCATTGTAGTATAAATACGAATCGGTTTTTAATTCAGTCAACTGGGTAATTCTTATGAAATGTAAGTTTTGATTAGTAATTGTATAATGACCTATACATATTATTTTGATAAGCGTCCTACACTTGACATTGATGAGTTCCACTTCTCATAAATGTTCACGAGAAATCATGAAATGGCATCAGAAAGCTAGTCACATTCTCACATGTGACGCAATACCGTAAGCTCCATTTTGTGTGGCTGGGTCGTAGATGCAAATGAATGCTGAATATTCTCGAGTTAAGACAAAATAGTGAAATAGTGATCCCCGGTTTTCGGAAGTGATCTGTCTCAGATCATTTCGTGGGTTTGACTGAAAATTTTAAAATCTCTATTGAGCTCTGTACTGATAAGTTTTGATGAAGAGACAGATAAGTCAGGAGTGTGCCGACTAAGTTCTCAATGTGCTTGCCATATTCAGAATAATGCTTACAATAGTGTTGATATCGGTGATCATAAAACTTATTGGATAATAATAAAAATGGTTTTGAATGGGATCGTGAATGTGTAATGTTGAGGAGTCTCATACTAGGCGGAACGGTCGTCCAATGCTTCCACGTTTGCAATGCTGATCTAGTTTAGATGGACTCGTGAATTCATCTGTTAGAATAAATTTGTGTTAGGAAAATACAAATGCTCGGCATGAGTGACGATGGGAAGGATAAGTTCACAGTTGGTGTTCTCTTGTTCCACTGAATTCAACGCTTTCATAGATGTTCTGAATTTCTCTGGGTTATATTCGCACTGAGTGCGACACACCGAAGTTGTGAGTAAACGAAGAGTTCATACGTCTCCGATCGAATCATTTGTAGGAGTGCTCAATTGAGGTGTCGCAACTTGAACGACAAATGAGATTATGACCGTTGATTAGTGACGTTTTGGTGTACACATTCGAGATTCATGTTTTCAACCTTATGAATTGAATGGAATACGCGAATGTGATGCGTGTTGAAAGAGTTCGCATATCAAAGGACATTGTTTTGATGAAATGAATTTGTTGATTTTGTTTCGATAAATCGATATTTGACGTTGTTATACATCTCAATGAAATTACACTTCAGTCAATTAACACTAGATCACTAATCATTTTTACTATTTAGCTGACATGTTTACAGTGTTAACGATAGTTTCGGGAGCAGTCATTCTCACTCTGAATTGTGTGATGTGTCTGGACAATGGGTTGGCTAGAACACCGCCAATGGGCTGGAATACGTGGCATGTATTCGGTGTCAGGTGGATTGTCAGAGGTATCCAAACAACTGTCTAAATGAGGATGCAATCAAACGAACAGCTGATAAACTGTATCGGATGGTTGGCGAGATTTGGGTTATAAATATGTGATACTTGATGATTGTTGGTTAGCAAAACAACGTGATCCGAAAACAAATAGCCTTATGGCAGATCCTTCAAGATTTCCGAGTGTGAGTTGATTCATATCGTTTGATATTAAACGTCCAAATTTTTGTATTCTGTTTCAAAAATATGAAATCATGCTTATTGTAAGTAGTCATTTTAAACAGACCGTTGAAGTAACTTAAGAATTCTTCTTCAGGAATGACTTGTCAGTGTCATTTCTAGCCTCACTAAACTGATCATGAAGGACATAGATTTCCTAGTATAAATCAATGTGTTGTAGTTGATTTGATTGATTTTGGATTGGTTTCCACTTGCTTTAACATTTGTTAAATTTCGTTGTGTTCTACCTTCGTGATTCGTATACATTTAAACTTCGAGAATATATTTCGTTTCCAGGGTATTGAATACATTGCAAAATATCTGCACTCCAAAAACCTCCTACTCGGTGTAACTCTTAGTTACGGGGCCATGACATGTTCTGGTTATCCTGGAAGTATAAATCATTTGGAATTGGATGCAAAAGCAGTGGCTGACTGGGGAGTAGATTATGTGAAGATGCTTGCCTGCCACCCTGCGGAGAATACTGCACCAGATGATTCGGAAAAATTTGCCAGACTACTCAATGCAACTGGCAGGCCGATAGTGATTTCGTGTACTTATCCAGTAGTTAGTACTTGGCTTTCAAAATTTAATTTGACTGACTGGGAAAGATTACAAAATAATTGTAATTTGTGGCGAGTGACGTTCAACGTGCAAAACAACTGGGAATCTATAATTGACGGTATAAATAGATATAAACTTCGCAATGATATTTTGCCGAAAGTGGCTGGTCCCGGACATTACAATGATCCCGATATGTTAGTCTTGGGAAACAACGGACTTTCGAATGATCAAAAGCGAGTTCATATGGGAATGTGGTGTATGTTTGCTGCTCCACTACTGATCTCAGCTGACATGGACAAGGTAGATCAATTCAGTGCATCTCTGTTACGTAACAAACATTTGTTGGCGATAGATCAGGATAAAGGTGGACATCAGGCGGAATTCGTGAAAACACGAAATGATGTACAGGTGAGTTGATGCATTAGATTGAAATTCTTATAAATATGTCTTGAGATACTCTTCTTTCTGTCGTAAAATCGTTGACAGAAAGTTCCAATGACGAAAAGCGACTTTCAATAATTCATCATATATTTGAACACAGTATATCGTACTAAAATGGTAGAACGACACAACAGCATTTATATACAATAACTAAATATATTTCGTAAATTGGTCGGCTGACATGATTATTAGTTTGTTAATGTATCCAATCACTACGGTGCAGCTGCAATTATGTAGCTGTCAAGTATAGCAACCAACTACATTTTTTTCATTACTTGTTCTTCAACTAAGTCACGACATGTCGTTAACATCTTTTTCATTCATCAGTGTACTGAATATTAACAGACGGTTTTCATCTATTCACATATTTCTGTTTATACAGTTGTGGATACGAAAATTAGATAATTGTCCAATGGGTTGGGCAATCGCTTGCATCAACACAAAGGTTGATGGAGGACCAATCGACTTTAGCACGAATCTGGATGAATTCAAATCACAGATGTATACAATATCAGGAGATAAGTTTGAATTACTGGATGTATTCACGGGTGATAGATTCAAAGACGTGAGATTGACAGAGAACTTTACAATTTCCATCAATCCATCTGGAATAATGATGTTTCGAATCATTCCATTCCATTTGATTACCAGTTTCCAGTAAATTGGTGATAGTTTTTACTAGTTGTTCGAAGCAAATTTCGACGATTCGTTGATTGTCAGATAGATAAGTAACTATTCTCATGCTAATGGTTTTACAATTCACACTTAATTTGCTCAGTTGTTGTGAAATTTATTTTACTCAGAAAATAAATGATTGTAATTCGCCTTTTTTCTTTCAATGTTCTTTTTAGACTATAAACTCGTATCTTAACATGTATCTATTTCTCTATTAGTGAATGAATGATCAACAATAGACACCTTAATCGTCTATTGAAATTGTGTGTTGTCTTAAATAGAAGAATGTTTACGATAGATCAGATGTGTATCTGCGTGGTAGCATCACACAATCTGCTTCTTGACATGTGACGGAATCTGTCACAGAACAACAGTTCCCTCAAGATTACAGGTACACGTGGTAAATAGGAGTACGTGAATTATAGTAAAACCTAAGAATCCCAGAAATAGAGCAATAGCAGCAAGAATATTAGACAAACACGAACGAATGCACTGTATTTGGAATTCAAAATCAAGCATTGAATAA